TCAGACGATACAGACTGCCGTCTTCTGCCCTATTGTACCGGTCGAGATGTAGCGAAATTTGCCTCGTGAAACCGAGCGAAATAGCACTCTGTTTTCAAGTTTATCTCGGAAAACAGACACCAGTTTTCTACTTAATCAGTTCTGTTCAGCACCTTTGATCGGTTACAATATCACTCTATACAGCTTACATGCACACTGTGGGCTCCGGGGGAAGGCTTTTCAATAGTCTCAGTCTTTTTTTAAATTTACATATCAAGTTAGCATTTCATGAAGAAATCGAACGTCACCAACCAGGTCGTACATCAAACGTGAGTATCGGTTACAAAATTCAAACTTCATCAACTTTCTTGATTCTTTCATCTAGCGCTCGTCTACTTGCTCAACGAACTATCATACAACGAACGTACGCTTTCAACCTCAAGTAGACTGGTTTTCTCGAAACTGCTGAAAAGTAGTCAGCACGTATGAGGCGATGCCCACTCACCCACCCCCAAACCAAAGCCTTTAATGAATACAGATAATCAAAAAAGTATAGAAAATCAAATGTTGCGTTCCGTATTAGGTTGGTTATTTTTCTTTAACATCACTCAGTCTCCGATTAGACCTCAACACAGGCTCAGAATGAATAGTTTTGCTGGGCCGAAATGTGAATTGGGCCCAGCAACTGGCATTCCACTTCAACAGAAGCGAGATTTCTGTCTGGGGGGGGGCACATTGTCATGCAGATAGCGATGTTTTGAATCCGGTTTGTGATTTCTTACTTAGCTTGATGTGTCTACAAATTTTCCATTATTTTAAGAGCCTTGAGGTAATGGTCAATTATAGTGTAAGGCTTCAAAACTGTGAGGCAGAACTAATAAACTTTCGCGCACAGTTGTATTTGACTCTTAAACTGGAACCTGTAGATAAACTTGACGCTCATCGATCTGATCTTCATGCATATTCATTGTGTATATTTTTTTAATTACATATCTTGACGTGATGATCAATCGAATGAACGAGCGTCAAAATCAAGAGAACCTATTGTTGCACTATGACACCCTTAACCCCGGGAGTTTGAGTGGCGAACTACATAAGTTCCTTGTGAGACAGGCATGATATTGAGCCGTTAGATGGCGAAGCTGAATAACACCGAAGTTGGGTCGCAGTGGCAGAGTTTAAACCTTGAACTTCAACTTGAAGCATACCAATGACAGTGCAATACACTATTTAAGCATCAGATTACCCTATCATTCAATCATGAAAATCAGCCATGTTGGATCTGGAACATAAACCAGGTGAATAATTAAAGCCTTTAGATGCATTATTGGTTCGGATGTCAGAAAAGCCTGGTACATACACATTTTGATAACTTTCATGAAGTTCTAACCTTGAATCACAAAACGATACCTGCAAATCAAACTGACTTGAACCCATTACGCAATTTAGTTCCACAATGGTGTGTATGGTCCCAATCTTTCCCAATCTTTTAGTTATTTGCTATTGAATCTCGAATCAATACGTACTCTGTACATCTAAAAATAATATACGATGCATACCCCATTTTTCTTTATCACACCCCGCTCAGCTTAAGCTCCTAAGCCTAATGGTGACTCAAACTTTCAGTTGTTTTTTGTACCCCACTCTCGATCACCGTTGCTGTTTTCTGACGGAGCACAAACTGTGATGCGCATAAACCCTTGTCTCTTTGACCAGGTGTATTTTATCACTTCTGTGTGGAGTAAAATAAAAGCATATCTGATTATGATCATGGTGATTTTGAGACACCTCGCTACTAATCCTACTACCTGATTGAAAATCAGAGACAAGTTTTTCTACACAAAACACTTAGTCCCTCGAACAACTTCTATGAGGGGAATTCGTCGTGTATAGAACAAATGAGGCGTAAAATGAAAAGCTAGGAAGCACTCTAACGTTGTTTCCATTTGATTGGGTCTCATCAGCAGTGCGAATTTATTGACCCCAGTGGGAATCGTAACCGAGACTTCACAGGCAGAGTGCAAGCATGCAACACACTAGGACAATAGGCAGCTGATCAGGAGTTTTTTATTTTATATTTTTACGTGGCTATTGCTGGGATGAGCGAGGCGTGATTTCCCCCAACAAGCTCGCAAAGATGGGTTGTTCTATATCGTGTATTGGCAAAATGAAGATCTGTCTGGTCAGCTGCTCGGTGTCCTGGTGGGTAGAATGCATGCGTTCTATCTATGACGTCCCGGGTTCGATCCCCAGTTGGGTCGGTGCATTCGCACTACTGATGACACCCAACTAAGTAGAAACCGCTGTACAGCTACACATTGACTCTTCATTTGCTCCATACACGACGAATTCCCCCTATAAACGTGAATCATACTCTCCACTACTCGCAATCGATTTCTATTTCATTAATTTCGCTCTCCTCACCAGTGCGCGCAACCGAATGAGGTGAGTTTACTTCGTCTTGGAATGAGCAAGACATTTTCGAGACAACCGTATGCACTCACGGATCACATTTCACATCGATTGATTGATTGGACCACGTCTGAAAGGCCATCGATCGTCGTATGGGCACTGGTCCGTGCGGTGGGCACAGCTGACAGCCCACACAAATTTACCATGGTTCAAGCGCAGCAGACTGGCCACACCCTCGGTCAGAAATGATTCATCCACGTATGATTCAACAACTATGCACTTTCTCAACACGCCCGTGGGATCTGTCTGAGTGAAGACAACGCTACTGTTCGTGTTCGAATAGGCTTAACAACACTACGCGGAGGCTATGTGCGTTACATGTCAACGCTGTGCGCTTTCTAAGGTCTTTGGATGATTAGCATAACCAATAGCGGTTAACTGTACCGCAGAGATATGACCCACAAATGACTTGACAGGCATGAATTCACCACAAAATAAACCCCTTTTAATGCGACAAAAACTGAGGGAATAAAGTTAAAAAGGAAAACATGAATGTCGCATAAACAACTAACATGAGGCGGAAAAACGAAGCCCCAGGAAATGCTGATTGAACGGGACCGAATTCGTAGACAACGTGAGGAACAGGAACAAAACTGACCAAGTGCAATTACATTTTCCTCATAGCACCTCATAGCATCTATTGCCAGACAAGTGTATTGTAATTGTTTCTGGTCAATGCGAACTGATTGCATGTGGTCGACATTCTGTGTGAGAGCTGCATGACGTAGCAAGCACATTAGTTGAACGACAGTGAAATTCTGTTCAAGCGCACATCTCCTATCTGAATATGTTCAAATTTTTGTTGTGATCAAAATAATTTCTGATAAATGTCAATTTTATCCCTGTGCGTTTTGATTTATTCCAGAGCGTTCGTTGTGATATGAGAGAGAAAGAAGAGAAAGCAGTAAATGAAAATACCATAAAATACAAGAAAATGTACTAGTGGACACTCAAGGTGCATAATTTAAGTTGGAGCTTCTGTAAGGACTTTATTGAATGGTATATTGGAATTCCTTATTATTTATTACTACAGGAATCTAACTGTTCGCCTGAGCATGCGAAACCATGGACACTCCGGACAAATTCTGGCGAGTTATTTTAACTTCAACATTTTCCTTAAATATCATAACAAACCCAAACTTTGTTTCGAACTCCTACCACATTTGGTCCTCTTTCGGTTTGTGGAGTCTTATTGTGCCGCAATTCTCCCGTGTCATTCTATAATGGTGAACAGAGGTGGGGTAACCATCCCCAAAGCACATCGTATTTCTATGCTTCATATGTATTTTATATCCTTACATCACGGTTATTACTATTTTATATGGGCATCATACTTGCAGAAAGTAATTACAGAGGACACAATTGAGAATGAACGGAGGTATTTTCGATCAACACGGTTACCCAGGGCGATTTCTGAGCAAAAAAAGTTTCAAACAATGTCACTACCGTTGATAAGAAACCGGCCACGATTGCTTGAACAGTCTTATACAGCATATTACAAGCGAATCACCGAGTGACAGTGGTACAACTATTTATTCAATATAAAGTAGATCAATAAAAGGAAAGACCTTTAGTGTCTCCAAGGTAATAAAAGTCGCGGAAGAAATTTCTTCACAGCAAAGCTTCGCTTTGAGCCCGTCTTGTTTTGTTTCAATTCAAAGATAAATAATCGGTTTGATGGGATCATTTTTGTATTTACTTATGTAATTCTGTGGTACAGCTTATATTCGCTTCATAGAGAACCACCCAACTTGACCGGATAGTGCAGTGACCAAACCTATCATCCGTTTCACGCATCGTGGGGTGAAATCGTGTCACGCGGCTGAGGTATGCTACGTGCTCTAGCTGCAACAAGGGAAGTGATGCCTACCAGGCTAGCACATGCTGAATGTTTCAAGTCTTTAGACTGCCTAGTGCACTTGGACCGTGCACAGCAGGAGTGCCATCGCCACTCGGATGAACATTCTCGTGTCCGGTTAAGCGACTAGAAGTTACAAGAATTGCTGCAAATTATCTGATCAGACCGTAAGTAGGGGCCGTGGCTGCGTGAGGCCACGGGCGAGAGGAATAGGAGGACTCGACACAAGGATATTGTTTTTATTTCGCACCTGTAGACTTAAAGGGATTAGGATTTGTATCTTGACCGCAGCGGAACCAACCGACATTTGCACAACTACCCTCCTTGCGTCCCCATCACCCAACCCCACCCTCCGAAAAAGACACTCAATCAATCTCGTGCACCAAGTGATAGTGACGACGACTCAACGGCTGAGTCATCGTGCGTCAATGGATCACTCAATTCAAAAAAGCGCAGTGCCGAAACCAACACCGTATTCAAAGTGCGGCGAATAGAAATAAAAAGATACAAACTTGAGAGGCAACCAGCCAAATCAATAACGTCCTATTTACCAGAAAAGGAGCAAGATGACGGCGAATATCACATATGCGAGCACTTATGCATGTGGCCCCAGATATCATCCCATCGCCATAAGCAGATTTGAGTGCTCGATGTGCGGTAGAATGTTCACGGATTGAATGCGCGGCGTAGAGAATGCGACAGTTGTAGTAGTTCCCATGGCGATAATTGTATTCAGTGTACGGTAATGGTAGGTCTACATGAATGTTTCAGAAATTGAATTATTCCTAAGCATCGAACCTCATATCTGATATATGTGTGTAGACCGCCTAGACAGTGCAATCAGTAATGCATTACTTTTAAAATGAATTGGCACTGGAATCTTGTTCAATCATAGGTGCTATTTTCCGCGTCATTCTGTGGGTCGAGAGACGAAAGCTAAATTAGTCTCGGAACGCGATCAGAATGAAGACGGGATGACTGAGAGCAAAAATGGTCCGATGAGAAGTGAAATTCAGGTTGTACAACGAACACGACAATTTGCACCGGAATCACACACACCTGGAATTTATGCGGAAAACAATTAACTATGAGTTATTTTTTACTGTGAAATTATTTGACCGTTTTTCAATTAAAGTATTATAGGCATTAATAATTCCAATACTACTATTCAGGACATAGGTGAATGCTAGCACTTTTTGTACCATTCTTTGAACGTCTCGCCCAAGAGCGAACTTTGCTCGATCCTGACGATGGGGTGGGGCGTGGTGTGTAGTACATTGAAGAAAAACATTTATTACACATAAAATACAACTGACTGACCTCCGTTTATCGGTTTTCCATGTTGGTGGCGAGATTTTGATCGACCGCCTTTTCCCTTTGATTCCATCCGAGGTTCGGGTGGTTTCGGTGGGGATGGATGACGCGGTTTACGGGCCGGCTTCTTCTCCTTTTGCATTGTGGATTCTGAAGCAATGCCAAAAGAGCAACTAATCAATCAAATCCTTTCTTTTTGTGTATCGTAGCTGCTCCGAATAGTCTGTGTTCTAGTGGAAACAGTTTGTGATCCAACCATTCCGAGCTGTTAAGTCGACTGAATATCTATGGACATAACAACAACAATAACAACAACAACAACAACAAGGAGAAGTTCAAACGGACAAAAATAGACTAACGATTTCAATAAACTAACAGAGTGAATTGTTGACAGCATATTACAGATCAACAGAGCACTGTAACCTGTGTGGTTATTCGACAGTCTCCTCATAAATACTCGTAACTGCTCAAATTGTAAGATTTTTCCATGTGGTGAACTGGTATTTTATTTCCCCAGAAAACCGAAAATATTACTGCGAGTAATGAAACCATGAAAGAGCATTCCAGAAGAGCTACAAATTGAGGACCAAACAGTGTGGGCATATTAAGATTGTAGTTATTTATATTTTGAATAATACAATGTGCTCGATTTGTGCTCTAATAAAGAACGGCAAACAAAATGAAGTTATTGAAATATTTTATGAAAACCTTATTTCTAACTTACACTAAAAAAACACTGTAATCAAACTATAAGGGCACGCGATAGACGTGTTAAAACCCTTAGCTGTGGTTGTGTTCATCCATGAGACCATTTCATCATTCAAGACGGTGATGTCTTTTGTACTAATATAAATAAATGATGAAAGCTCTATTTCACACACACATACACACACACACACCAAGTGCACACATGTGCCCGCACATTGAGGTCATCAGCTGTGGTCAGCTAAACACCTGGCTGGCTGAAGTTCGAGCATGGGGTACAATCTATTCTGCCACGAGAAATGACTCTCCCAGAAGAACAGTTTTACGAATATTCCCATGACTCCATTACCTATTACCACGAATTCCTGACCTTAAAAGGCAACTTAGAGAAAACCATTTTGAGAACAACAGAGTTCGTGAGCTATTGGTTTAAATCAAACTGAAAAAACAAGGAGCAGCAATGGGAATTTAAGAGAAAAGATGAGAATCGTGAAAAATTCAACGAATTTCTCTCACGTATCATAAACCACCGTCACAAAATTAAATGTGGGTCATACTGTATTTATAAACAAAACCACCTTCTCCAAACCTAAGGCGCAAAAAGGCCCCATATTCAATACCTGTTGTAACTCGTGTCATTACCTCCGCGTTTATTAACCTAGCGAACTCTCGGAATCCTGTTATTAGTGACTTTCGGGATAGAGTTCTGTGGCACTTCTGCCCATTCTTTATTCGAATTCTCTCTCAGACGCTTCAGGTTTTGAATATATGCTTCTCCTCTCTTATCAATCAGCCCGTAAATTCCCAAATATGTCCGGTCGGAATGAGAGTTGATTAGTGAACTGTTCGCGAGAGGGAGAAAGGGAAACGATTGCTCGAGGTAGCGTATATTTCGGCCCAATTTGAGAACAATGTGAGCTGACATGATCAATCTTCTCATGTTGAGTATCTGAGCAGGTAGAAGGTTTTTCAGAGCCGCACGGCAAAGTTGCTTTAGTGAAATATCCAGTTAGCAAAAGTCAGACAATTTTAGTAGTCTTTCGCCGTCAGCCACGGCTGTACTTCCTTCGCTGTCCTTCCCAAAACCACGAATCTATAGTTCCTCAGTATGCATATCCATATTAAGGGACCTTGGCTTTCCAAATCTTCACATGCTCAGTCACGGCCTAAATCGATTGGCGCCAGTCATGCCTAAGAGCAGTCTGACATTGTGCTGTTGAAGGATTTGGGGACATTCCTTCCGACTCATTTGGTCGGTAGATCAGTTACGTGTGCTAATAACGGTGATTTCTCGCCTACCGACTCCATGGGTTGTCCAACATCTGCCACACCTCAAAGTACTGCGATGAATTTTAATAACTGCATTGGAGAGGACTAAATCTTCATTCGGTGCCGGATTTTTCTATCCGTATGTGTAAATCGAAAACTTCTGGACTCACTTTCACATAACTTAGGTGTTATTTTCAATTTAGGAAATTGTTGTTGACCTTCCAAAAGTAGCTAGTATAACTTGTTCTGGTACACAATACGATAAGCTAATTGCCTGCATGGTGTGTAGCTGTGAATCGCGCGTGAAACACATTTTTTTCTACTTTAACTAGCTTGGTAGTTTGCATAAATTGGGTTGTACCAGTCGTATTCATGTCTCACTGAACCCTTTGGCTCATGCTAAGATTTCTCCCCCCTTGTAGATTGTCAGTAAATCGCTCCGCACGGAGAAGCTCCTGTCCATCAGCTGGTCCAGACAGCCCCTAGGTCTGTCCACATTCGACTGTCTTGCCTACCCGCTCTCGGGGCACATCCTGTTGCACACCCGAGCCCACGCATAAAAATAATATAAATTGGGGAAAGAACCTCAGCAGTTCATTGTGCAGTGATTGGCTGAACTTTTTGGGGTCGATAGCTCCATTGGTTACGAGACAAATCTATCAACTGACGCTCACGTTTCAGTGAGGCTGATGCAACTATAGCTCTTTCAACATGAACGTTAGATATAAGCCTTTTATCAAATGATAGGCAGGCGGTGTACGAGTACGTGAGCCTGGGAGAAATCAAATACAGACAAAAAAGTGCAATTTAGTCATTACCTTGGTGATGAAATGATGAAACATAGGCATGGAGTCAGGGGCATAGGATATGGTAAATCGTGACTTCAGATGAACGATAACTCAGTCACTGATAGAGACAAGCATATAAATCCAACCTCATGCTCCAGTTACCTGAAGCTATTTACGGTCTGCTCTAGCAATGAAAGCCTAACCTCAGACAAACAGGGACATCAGGGCTACAGGTATAGTAGAATAACCTCGATTGTTCCCTTTATTGTATGACGAACACGTGTCTATAGTCATAACAATCAAGCGCATGGTAAGATGCAACCTGTTGAATTTTAGACCAAACTGTGTACATGTGCTAAGTGGATCAGAAAGTGCAAAAACATCTCCATTGAGCTCGAATCTGATGGTTACCATCAATCATATACTTTTAACGAATAAAAAACCTTGAAATTGTTTTGCACGGGCTTCATTAGGGCGTGTAAGTTAGCCAGCCTTTTTGATATTGTTTTGCTCGAATATTCAACAAGTAAAACTCTTGTGCAGTCTTCTTTCATTACAGTCAGAAAACCTCTATAGTTGGTTCGCAAAGACCCCGTCATATTCATTGATTATCATCCCATATTTCTAACGCGTCTGGTGCTAGAGAAATCACGGTGCGACAATCTTCATAACATGATTTACTCAAGGGTGGAGTACAGTCAGGTTACCCAGGACAACCCCCAAGGTTGGTTGGTTTACTTCTACCGCTAAGTGGATGGCATACTTTGTATGTCCTATGGCAAAAGTGGTCATACCTACCTATGTCGTTGTCAGATTGGATATGACAAACTTCGCACCAGGCTTTATGGTTGAGGCCAGAGAAAACAATCACACATGATGTCGTCAGACGCTCATTTAGTCGGATGTTCAGACGAATCCGTGCAAAGTAAAGCAGTATACTCAAAAGTGATCTGGAAAAATTAGTACACAAACTGTCCCAGTTTGATGCCGCTTGCTTTGAAACGCATTTTGATACACCGACTTAAATTTAGAACAAATTGTTCACAAAGATTAATCGCAAGGCACTGAACCAAACGAGCAGTACCAGTGAGGCTGGTAGACACGAAAGTGATACACTATTCATCAAAAATCGTTTCGAAGAGGACTCAAGCATTTAGAGACTAATAAATGGTCACCAAAGGCTACCAACCGCCGGAAAAGCTGGTAGTATTGAAGTACGATGCAGTTCAAACGACTAACGATCAGTTTGGCATAAACATACCTTAACCCATGTTCAACAGAATTAAGATTTTGCCTGTCAAATGCACCACACAAGGCGACCGGGATCCGATAAATTGCTTGTCTATTGACCCCAACATTCTGTAGACCTGCTTGGTTATTTGATTTTCTGGGATGTTGTGAATCTGATCATTGTTTTGCTGTAAAAAGTTTCTCATTGCCCCTTTAAACACACTAAAAGCTTCCTCAGTCGAATTCAAAAGTGTACTATAAGGTGGAAGATATCTGTGAGCATATCCAGAGGCCAGTATTGATTAACCCGCCCGTCGATGGACCGGAACATTGTGGAAAAGTGTTATCGCTTCTGTTTCTGGGTTTTGATTTCACTGTGGTATTAATAATGTAGCAAATCTATCGCAGAATAACAAGTGTCACTTAGGTTTACATCTTTGTTTTGATGGCAAAGTGCGAATTCACTGTTCGCCCTTTTGTACACAAATACCATATGTCGTAAGTAGTGATATCAACACAGAACCGTGAGACAAAACGATCGTGCTCTAATGGCTACATCACATAGTAAGTCTACACCTCTTTAACATCATCATCATCTTCGCGCCGTCAGATAGATTCCTAGATTCTTCGTGGTATAGTGATCTGAAAGACGATTGATGAAGCACAAAATGGTGGAAACATTCGGGTAATTCAGTTTCATTTTTCTCCTCATTTCACTCTGAATAATACCAGGTTCCTGTGTGCGTGTGTGTGAGAGAGAGAGAGAGGGAAATTCGGAGTAGTTTGAAGTGAGTAGGAAATAAAAATTTGACTTACGTGAATGTTCGTGTATCTGAGAATCCGGCCTTTTTCGTCGTTCTCCAGTAGAGGTGCTGCCAAAAGTCTTGGGTTCCCTTACACCTTTGGACGTGAGTTTCGGCTGCTTTGTCTCATCATGCAAGTTGTACTCGTCTGGGTAGATCATATCCTTTTGGGTGAGATCCGATGACTTTGATATATTGCTATGTTTAGACATGTCAGACACTCGGGATCGATGTGACAAGGTTTTCTTGCGGCTTGCATCACTATCAGAACCGTCCTGACTAGGACGTCTTGCAACAGAGCGCGGAGGTATCGGTTCGGCACGTTCCGGCTCCATAACGGATGAGTGACGTACTGGGAGTTCTGTAACATTTTAAAAAGTATTTTGCGTAATTATTGTGATGGTAAAAGATAACTGAGCGGAACACGCGGCTGGCATACCGACTTAAGTTGGAAAGTACAGCCCCTTAGCTTAAATGTCAGGGTAAGTTATCGCATTGTGAAGCCTCAATCCCAAAGTTGTTTGTTCCTCGTGTCAGTTTTATTCGACAGATGCGAAAAATAGGCAAAAGTGGTTATTTATTCATTTTAAATCGAATAGAAGGAACATCTACCATAAATTTACATCTGTAATAGGGAAAGTAAAACGACTGCACAGAACAATGAAGTAAGAGAGGCTTGTGTTTACCATTTGCGGACTCTTCACTGCCCAAACAGCTATGCTCTTGTATGGGTTACTGGTATTCGGTTATTCACCTGGTTTACAAATTAGGTAGACCAACCAAATGACTGAGAGAGTGTTGTTAAGACAAAGGCAAAGAATATAATGGAAATTGTCTATATATTGAAATTAACTGGATGCTTGAGACAAATCTGTTGTTGTTTTCGCAGAGAGAAAAGCCGAAGTATTCATGCACAATAGAGTAGCAAAAGAAGAGTTTCGATCGGTTTTGGGATTTCATCACTAGCACGTCTCGAAAACAGAATTTCGTGCTGTTTTCCGTTTTAACTTGGTTTCACCTCTGTGTCAGTTGTCGAACGAGACAACAGCTGCACACCTAACCCCCGTGGTCGAATGGTAATTGGGTTAGAAATAACAACTCGATAAAAGAAAACTATCGCAAACATAATGGCGATGCACAGAACCCTTAAAATTAAAGTTATTCTCTATGGTGCACACTACGTAACCTGAGTCACATAGGTAGAATTTCGCAACCGCCAACCCATTGAAGCTTGAAATGGTCTCGTGAAAGTGGCCGAAATAAATGGGCAAGGAGATTCACCGGAAGCGGGAATGTGGACATAAATTTCCTTTGAAATGTCTGAGCCGTAGTTATTGTTAGGGTAAAGTGCAGCTGAAACACTCCTGTTTGTGGTTGCTAGGGTGTTGATAGAATTAGTCAAATCAATAAACAGAGGCCAACACAACACTTACGGCCAGGGTCTCGCGGGTCGTTTTCTGGTCACAGTCTCAGCGATGCAATACTGCTTCAATGAATCACGTTATCGTGATCTCAGTCAATCAATGAGGTTATGATTGCACCAGTGCGGACCAAAGCTGGCCATATTGATTGTTATCGATTGGTTTGATTTAGCAATGGCAACAACACGGAAAACAGTCAAGTACGTTAGCAATTAAAATGACGTTTTATCTGGGTTAAGTGACGTTTATGCCTGCAGATCGAATGTTGTCTAACTGATGCAGACCAGATTAGAAGGAAATAAACACTGCATAGGCTTAGGAAAAGTCACGACAGTAGTGACTTGGGCGTTAATGTGAAAAAAGTGATGTTGGAAAGGAATTACATGAACAAGGCATGCTGTTGTCAGTCTAAGTCGCGACGAAAAATACTGTAACTGTGTGATTTATCTAAATCGATAGATGAAATGTGGAACAAGCCTGCCGTTAAATAACAAGGTGGGTTCATCTTATTTCAAGCCTAATTCATTTTTGAGGGGAATGATGGTACACAATGAAGAACAAATACATTCAGGTTTCGAAATGACTCAACACCGATCAGAAAACGATGTAATGAGGCTGAATAATAAAGGGTGAAGCTCCAGGTGTCAGTTCTCTTCCATCGGCGTCGTATTTAGAAGGCGGTAGTCAATTCGGGAAGTGTAGTGACAAGGTCTGAGTTCTGGTAGGCATTGAGTTCAGATTTACTATTGCTATGTAAATGGAGTGTTAGCAACTTTTTACCTACACCTGAGTATCGTTTTTAAACATTTTGTCAACTGTGCCTTTCAAAGTCAAAAGTATATGGGTAATCGCATTTGGTTGAAAGGAGAGAGGGTCTCATTGGGACAGGGGCTGAACCCGCCCACGCCAACATTCACAGCTATAAATGATGACCGATTTATAGCTCTAACTTGACGTGATTCTCTGTCATACCCGACTTACTGAGATCAATGACCGTCGGTTTCGTTCATTCTCGGATCAAACTCTCTCGATCAACGTGACCGTTGGACTTAACGTTCCTGGGGCGACATCCCGGGAAAAACAGTCAGACTACCGAAACCTTGAGTCTCATTCGGTAGCTCAATCAAAAGTACTTTTGTTTGTTTATGGATAAACTAGTTAATGCTAACTGGACGGACCTTGTGGTATATCCGGCCCCATTGAAAGTGTGTGACGACCGAAGTACCAGTTACTTTATGGGAATCCCGGTAGAAGGTTATTAAAATTACGACAGCTGAACAGTGTCTCTGTTGGATAAAAACCTGTCGATCAATACATTGAAACCCCTCTCCCCCAGAAGAAAAACAAAGTAATTTAACCGTTTTTACCCACGATCATAATTCCCACAGTATCAACAGATGCGATCGGATGACCTGAGTTTTGCGAACGGTACTGAGTTGACGTTTATTTTTAATGTCACTTATTCCGTGGCCTTCAGCGAAATGTGGAAGGGTGCGATTAAGGATATTTGAACGTCTGCTTAGAAATTTCTCTACCAATATAGCACCTTGACGGGAGAAGCCCTGACCCTTGTTCAACTTCGCATGTGTACAGCAGTTCAACTATGACTACTGCACCCTTGTATTTTTGATATTTTCTTTCGGACCAATCCTACGTGATGATTCAAACTTGCGAAAATTGATCAAACTTGTTGGGCGCTATAAACTGAGGGGTTTTTAATTACCCGAAGGAGTCACTGCTGACCTCACCCTACTTATCTCGAATCGATCATATTGCGCAGATGATGATGGGAAAATCAGAAATACCGGCGAAACTGGTCGTACGTAGTTTCAATTTTATTCCCTTCGGATGGCGGATGGGAACTGCTGGATCCAAACAATAGTAATACGCTCTGTGACCTTGTTCCTAGACTGAATGTGATCATTGTATCATCAAGACTGAACAGAGAGGCAGATTGCTTGCGCATTGAACGGCCTCATTTTTCTTTATCCAAACGGTGGACATGATTGAAAGCATTCAGCGCTATTCGGGGCACACGGAATTACGAACATCGCCGGGAGGACTAAGTACACTCATCGGATTGCTGATTCATCACGGAATTTTTGGAAAGGTCTACTCACCAAATTTCCTCTGGATCTGGTCCTTTTCACAGGACAATGGATGGTGATTCAGTAGCCCTGAATAAAAAAATCGTTTACGCTTTGATGCAAGACGGCTACGGATGTTGATGTACGTAGAGACCAACGTGAGATCCTCCATAATCTACGACAGGTTTGGTGACAATACCAGCTTGTAGGTAAGACACAGATGGAGAGTTTGATAATTTTTATATACTTCGTCAATTTTATGCCTTATGAATTCGAAAAACCGTATACGAGAAAGCCGTTATAATTTAAAACAAGTGAAACATCTCATTTAGTGGGTCTATGTAGTACACAGTGACTTCTTATCCATCAATCCAGGCTCCCTAAGTTTGCTTACCGTTTTTTCACACTTTAAGGTGAAAAATATGTGTATCACTGAGGCTGCTGACGCGCATCGAATTCGCATGGTTTTTCGCCAAGAATGGTACTCATGAAGACTGCGGTTCGGGCTGATCCCTTAGCTGTTACAAAACTGCATTTTTTCCTTCTGTTCTGATGTAATCCCATGTCATCGTCATTCAAGACAATAGGGTTATCTCATGACTCAACAATATGCCTATTTTACTGAAGCATTGGATGATTCACACTACTCTCTACTCCATAGGATTAGGTTGCCAGTTTCCGTCAGTGTAAAATAAGATCTCCTGATTATCGACTTAAGTCCGTGATGTGTTTATCGCATTAAGGTAGCTATTAACGCTACTATATGTAAACAGTAGAAATGTGCTTAAAATGAAATGAACATTAAAATGGAATAACTAAATAATATTTGGCACCGGTTTAGGACGGATTCAAGAGACTCGGTAGCTCTCCAGACACTTATATCCATTCAAAAATGTATGTTGTATATTGTTTTCTATTATCCTCTGTTTTCCTCATATGCAGACTACAGAAAAACACTTTGATTCCGTGACTTGTGCAACTTTGTCAGGTGTTCTCTTGACGAACTAATTTGTCGATATTCTTGCTACTCCGGCTCTTATTTTGTCTTTTACCTACCGACTGCTCACTGCCTAGATGTAGGTAGACACGTCGACGATTGATGATGAACGAGAACTGCGTTAGACACAATGAGATTAGTCGTGTGCGCGATCAACCATACGATAAAGTTATTGGTTAGAAACTGTTGGTGGAATTGGTAACGGTTTCACCCGGAGTAAAAATCTCACGAGTCTTCGAAATATCGATCCGACTTGCGTCAGCACTCTCAGGGATCAGATAAGTGTATTGGGATCATTACCACACGGATCAAAAGAAGTATAACAAATGCAACCAACGATTATAATTTAATAAACCGCAGGATAAAACAGCTCAGTTCCGAAAAAATTTAATCACGACTCAACCAGTTAAGAGTATTTTGATGTTCATAACTCTTTTCAAATCAAAAGCGCCCTCCAGAATGTTCTTCCCAATTGCTGTATCATTATTTCTGTTCTTTGATCTTTCGAAGATAGTTAAGGTTTTGCGCTGATATTCGGTAGACAATATATGATGTCAGAGCATCCAATCGTCACACGATATCTTGTTGAAAGTTTTCCCAGGAGGACTATTTTCCATCCTGTAAACCCTTCATGAAAATAGCTATCATTTCACTCGAAAATGCGCTTTGAATTCGGGCATATTTCATCCCGAATAAAACCTCTTTAAGAACCATGGTTCTATATCGGGTTCAACTTCTAAATAACGGAGGAACACATTACACAAGTTGGATTTTCGGCCTTCGTTTTACCGTTTCGTCAAAAAGAAGCGCTCCCTTCCACAGTAGCGCATGAAATTCACGTACGACTAGGGAATGATAAGTAGACACGTTCTCATCCTGGAAACCTCCCTTACTAGTCATGCTCGGATCGAGAATACCAAGTAAACTTGATCATGGATGATGATGCCTAGAAATATCACATTGATCTAGCCTTCCCGGATGGCTGCTTAGATCTGTAATGAATCTTTGTTGTTCTCANGTTGTCACATTGTTTTTTAGTCCTAGACCTATGGATCCAAACACGCCTTCGATGATTGTGCTTGAATAACAAGAATCATGGCTCCTCCATCTCTTCTCCCATAGCATACACTTCCCACTTGACTACTACGAGCGCCAGTTTCGATTATGTTCAAACAATAGAGGAACTGGCATGTCCCCTTGACTGAAATTCATATTCATTGAATGGGCGTGATCGCGTAGTAGGTTATCGGTCACAACCGTTGAACAGAACGATCGTTTGAGCTATTGGCTATGTTCATAATCTATTGAATGGATCAACTTACTAACCATCGGTTTCGAAAAGCCGCGGCACTCGATAATCTCACGATTGTATAATGAATTTTGTTGTGAATGAAGCTAGGAAGTACTGTACAGTTGTTCCTACCTGACTGGGCCTCACAGGTAGAACGCAGGTGTACCATCCACTCGACCACTGGACATGCGATCAGACCGTTTTTCATTTTGCTAATACACTCATCGTTGCAAGCTTGTTGCGGGCATCATGCCACGCTTGTCTCAGTACTAGCCTCCGGCGTTACGACTTGGTTGGAAAGATTCCAACCTAAGTTATCATAATTCTCACATTCCAGGGAACAACAGACAACTGTGATTTTTGGGAGCACCACGTGAACCCGACGCAACAAATGAAAAGAAGGGCTGCGAGACTACTACATACAACCATGACCCTTTCCGTTATTTCGTTCCATAAATGTGCAACCGAGCCTGATCGGATTTCATCCTGAGCGGGCGTTGTTAAACCTCAGAGACCTAATTTGTTTACGACGGTGCACATTTTTTGACTCTGTGTACTTATTTCTTGGTATTTTCCCACCATGAACTGTGTTGAATTGGGTATACTTTACTCGACCGAAACCCAAGCTTACAGTCTGTTAACTGAGAGGACTACCCGTTCTCCCAATGATATAATGGAATTAATCAACTCGTCTAAGTCGACATAAACTGTTTGTTTATGCAAGCCACCGCACCTCTCAACACAGCGGCCCTTTCGGATACTGGATTAAAGCGCCCAGTTCAACGGTTAAGGGACGCCCCACGTCTACGTTGCGTTCGTACATGGAATGGCCAACCAATGGTTTAGAGCCATGTTTCTCGAATACTATTGGCGGATCAATTCAAGGTCGTATTCTACACGATCACATACGAACAATACGTGATAGAAAGACAGACAGGCTTGGTGACGGTGATAGATAGACAAGCAGCTCGCGAGTATTTTGACCAATCCGGGGTGCAAACGATCGATCATAAGTACAGGTCTCAGTGTCATACTTGGCAGATCATCCAATCGGATCGTTCTGTGGTTAGTAGCGTGGCGACCGCACTGTGATACTTAACATCGCGATGCTGTTCTCTCAGCTCATCTTGTCGTTGGTTTTGAGTGCTGCTGGTGATACCATGTGCGATCGGGAGCCGTGCCGTCCGCATCATCCACATCCCCATGGACCTATCATACCACAGATTAATATGCCCGCTCCTAATTTCACTGGGCAAGCTGTAGTGGGGAAGGAGTTTAAAACCATTAGCTTGTCGGATTACAAAGGAAAATGGGTGATACTGGCCTTCTATCCTCTGGATTTGTAAGTTTGTTTTGTATTTTCGCTTGATTATTCTATTTCACTGGAGTATATGTATGCTACTGCTCAAACACTGTTTATCAGTTCCTCGGTTACGGTGTTGTTGCATGATTGGGTTTTCCGAATGGATTTGGCCCTGGTACTAATGTCATTATAAGCCCTTGAGCTTTGAGGTTCGCAGTCTTTGTTTTCTTATTTTAAGTATTTCACTGTTTGTGATCTCGCTCTTGGTCACATCTCAATGCATGGATTAAACTATATGGTCGTAAAACAGTTTCCGTGTCGTTCCCCTGATTGTGGTCTTCTCATGCCGCCTTATAAAGTCGCCATTTAACGCTTCTCTTTCGAATACCTTTCTTCCTCCCGTTTAGCACGTTTGTGTGTCCAACTGAAATAATTGCATTCAGCGATGAGATGGAGAAATTTACACAACGAAACTGTGTCGTCGTTTTCTGTTCCACTGACTCCGTGTATTCACACCTAAAATGGACTCAAATAGATCGCAAAAACGGTGGTGTAGGGCCGTTGAACTTCCCGTTGTTGGCCGATAAAAATATGTGTATATCGCGGGCATATGGTGTTTTGGACGAGAAGGAAGGAAACACATATCGGTAAGCCACATGTTTTTTCGATCGTCGTCGAGTAATTTGTTGGCTTTGCTCGCATTTTGAGGCCATCCTCCATTACTTAGGCGTTTATCCGTTATTCAGACTCATGCCATTACCCGCTCAATGCACTGGAGCAATTTCTACGCTATGTATCCTCGTTTATTCTTCCAGGGGCACTTTCCTGATTGATCCTCGGGGAACGCTGCGCCAGATCACGGTGAACGACCGCCCAGTGGGTCGTTCTGTCGATGAGGCCCTCCGGCTTCTTGATGCATTCATTTTCCATGAGGAGCATGGTGAGGTATGTCCAGCCAATTGGAAACCCAAAGGAAAAACCATTGTACCTACTCCAGAAGGATCGAAGGCCTATTTCTCTTCTGCAAATTAATTTTTTCCCACTTCATTATGTAACGTTTTTGACTCATACAAATACAGGACAACAGTAGCTTATCTGTGTACTGTTCTCCTCAATGTGTTCGGATATTGTATCCATGTCAACCGGATTTTAGTTATCCTCGTGTGATTAACAGCAAACGGGGAAAACCGCACGGTAGCGAGAACTTACTGCTCAGTCACGGCAACCTAAGCCCAGGAGTCCTGGTCCNTTTTAAGTTAGGTCCTTGTTCTACTGAACGTTGACGCACGTTACTTCCACCTTGGTCCTTCAGCGCACCACTGTATTTCACGTTCATATGCTATGTTCAGATCTCACGTTATGCCTTCTGTTTCGTTTATGTTAGCTACTGGTATCGACTGGTCGTATTGCGCAATCGTTGGGACGCGTAGGGAATGTCATGGAGCCATTAAGTCATTTAGGACGAAACAGGATCGCACATGAACGGAGCTGGTGCCTCTGGCACCAGCGGTTCCGCCAGGTTAGGCATAGTAATGAACCGGCTGTTATCAAAGCGGCCTGTCACCAAAGTTGCATGGTGGCGGCGAGGTTTAAAGACCTACCCGCCTGCAGTTCTCTACTCATGTTCCACTCACGTGGATCATCTGACATCTCTTCGCTTCTGCCTTTCGTATTGAAAATGAGGTGCGGAATTCATTTGGACTGCAATTTCTACCGTACTAAATTCTGGTCCTGAATAAGTGCCGTTGCATTAACTGCTTTTGTCACTTGACGATGCACGTTACGCCCATGAGCTGCTTTGTTTATCGACCTCATGGAACGATTATTCGGAGTCGGAATACTTGGGATAGTGTGAACTGAAGTGAGGCCAAGCCTAACGGCATGCCAGGGTGTTGCTCGTTCTGGACAGCCCATTGTCCTCTTCGCCGTTCTTATGAAGTATCATCGCGACGTTGGCTGTACTATCTCGGTTGATGGTGCAATGTTAAGAGATAGACCTCCCAATTCAATACCCTAATTTCCCTGCCTCAGTTGCCAAATTTGTGTGATGAACAGCAGACGGGTAAAGCCCCATGGTCTCGAGGACCTGCTGTCCAGTGATAGAAACCGGTAACCCAAGTTCCAGGACTTGGAGTGGCAAACCACATAAGGCCCGATAGGTTAGGCGTGGCATTGAACCAGACGGCAGCAAAGCTGCCTACCACCAGAGTTGGGTGGCGGTGGCAGGGATCGAACCTCGGACTATGGGGTCCAAAGCGCACCAGTGACGGTGACTAAAACACTGGGCCACCACCACCACTTAGTGGTTTCCCTCTTCTGTCTTTTAGCGGCCTTCGAGTATGCTCGCTTTTGCCTAACCGATGGGTTATCGGTCAGTCATTCTACTGGGGGAACCGCCGCGTCAGAGAACCATTACACAAACATCGGGATTATGAACTCACTGGTTTCCCGTCCGCCAGAGGACTTTGTACTTTGACGTATCTGTGGTGAGGTTGGCGGCGGTGGATGTTTCTTGTGTCCTGACTGTTCGCCTCCGGGCCCTATCAAACAAGAAAACAGTGTCATGGGGGATAGTTACTTTCATTCAATGCGTTTCCGGTGGGAATTTTGATCTACCCAACTGGTTTTCCACTGCGCACATACGTGGTACGGTCAAAAAGGATGAACATCACTTTATGTATGCTGTGAGGGCGGGTGTGCGGGTTACGCCTTGAAAACCTCACGGCTATTAGCAAAGGGAAAGGTAGCGTTACCAAACTCTTACAATTTTTGAAAAGAAAAGGTGAGCAGTGAGGCATTTAGGTACACGGGACTAATGTGGAAGGACAGGGGAATGGGAACTGAAAACGTAACCTCAGAGAAGCTCAATCCATGGCACTAATTGTGAAAAAAGAACAGACGTAATTACTTGGCCATGGGTTAAGTGCCGTAAGTTTAGGGTGAGGGTTTGATTGTCTGTTGACTTCAATCAAGGACGGATAGGGAATACAAGGAAGTTCCCCTCTCATCTGATTAGGCATTCAAGAGACATATCTGAGGTTGATAAAAACCAAGAGAATGGGCACGGCAAACGAATTGTCTTACGCGAATTAGAAAACCGATCTTGCGCGCAACACGAAATGATGACGACTTATGTAATCTATGAAAGCGACGGAGCGAGGGGTAGTCCAATGACAACACGGATGTGGGGAACGAATCGGAAAGGAAAAAGTCAATAAACAGGACTTATTGGAAAGTGTGATTTCGGTTTTTCTGACAAATAAACAGTCAATGACAGTCGTTGACAGATACCGTGGTGGTATCGGGGCGAAAAAACTGGTAAGACGTTACAGGTGGTAGCGCAGAGGTTTAATCACTGTCAACGGCATGCTTTGGACCATACGGTCCGAGGTTCGNCCCCGCCACTGCCACCCGACTTTGATGGTAGACAGCTTTGCTGTCGTCCCGTTCAGTACCACACCTAACCTATCGGGGCCTTATGTGGTTCGCCACTCCAAGTCCCGGGGCTTAGGTTGCCGGTTTCTATTACTGAATAGCAGGTCCTCGTGACTATTGGGGTCCCCCCGTCTGCTGTTCATCGCACTTAGGTGTCATAGAAAACATGTAAGGGTAACATTGCCGGCAAGGGTATGATTAAGCCTTGATGATGTGGGCAAGAGGTCTTCAGTGTAAAGAATCCTAAGATGGGGAATTGCAGAAACGTATGGAGCGCTTGATGTGGAAGTTGAGTTAAGTAGGTTAGTATTGCTGAAGTGGAAAAAGAATCATGCGTTCAACAGGGTCAGTGTCGTCAAACGGATACGAATCTGTTCTTGTAAATGATTTTTCAGACCGGGAGAACTACCAGACTTTGGATCAGCTTCG